ATGCCATGCCATGCCATGCCATGGCCTGCAACACCCTACCGACCGTACCGTACCCTACCGTACCCTACCGGACCGTACTCTATCATACCCTTCCCATCTCATCCCATGCCATGCCATACCAGGCAGGACAGACAGACACTCACTAACGCACATACAAACAAACAAACACAACTACAAATAGACATACCCACTTACCTGCCTATGCCTACCTTCCTACATCCGTCCATCATACATCATGTGTGTGTAACTACGCGCACGTACGTGGACCCCGATTTACCTAATTACGAACCTATTTGCAACCTGCCTGCCTGCCTGGCTACCTACCGGGCTTTCTGAGACAGCCCCAACGAGCGCTGAACAACTTCTCCAGAGCGGCGATGACGCGCCGAAGATCCCGAGCGGGTCGCTGAACATGGACCTCACGAACTGAACAAGGAGGCATGAACGACTCGTCGAACAGGGTTTGGGGGCATGCTGCAACATATGACAATCTATCTATCTACCGATCGTTCGCTCCATCTATCTGTCTGGTCTATCTGTCTGTCTGTTCGTCCATCCATGCACCCATCCACCCACCCACACACCTAGCAAGCCGTTCATCCTTGTTTGTGTTTGAACTTACAGAGGCTTTCAGGGCATACACCTACCACTGGAAAGAGTTCAAACGTCTGTCTTCATGGCACCTTGATCTATGGCATGGATTTGATAGGGGCCTCAATAATTCAAACAGGGTTTGGGAGTATAGTAGGTATATAATACCTAGCTATATTGGGGCCAAACGGGAATATTAGGGATACTTGCAATGGATTTAGGCTTAGGACATTTGGGCTTCGAGGGTGCAGGGTTTGATGAAACCCAGCATAGAGATCTGGACAACAAGTATTCATGTACCCTTATAGTTTTTTATATGCTCATCGTGTAGTATAACAGAAATACCCCTGTTGTGATTGTTGAGGCCCCTATGCTCATTTCAATACCTCACGAGCCCTAAGGCCACTCCCTGGGGTTCTAGCGACTGCTCCAATGCCCGGAGTTGAGAGATGATGAATTCGAGACTCTTCTTTCACTTACACTAAGGGTATTCAATACTTATTAAGCGCCCTTAGAACCAGAATATAAACAAACGTCTTAAGAATCTCATGGAGTTCTAGATCAAAAAAGATAAAACCTAAATTCCAAAGAGCACTAAAGAAGGGACCATCAGTTCAAGGATGCCGGAGGCTCTGGTGGGAGTGTAGGGTTTAGGGTTTAGGGTTTAGGGTCGTTTCAGGCGACGTCCTATTTGGGGACACAGAATTTTCAAAAGGGCCCTAACTCAGAGACCGTACACCGAAACCCTAAACCCTAAACCCTGAACCCCTAAACCCTAAAAGGCAAGGCCCTAGACCCTAAACTGCAAAAGCCGCGGGAGATCTGGCCCTGGGCTTTAGGGTTTAGCGTAGTTTAGGGTTTAGGGTTTAGAGTTTAGGGTTTAGGGTTTAGGATGCTTCGAAAAGGGAGTTGACGGCTCCCGACGTTCTCGATTTCTACATGCACGAGTCGAGTGCACTGTATTCACTCCGGAATCCAAACATCCCGAAACACACACATGCACACAGATATACATAAAATATATATGTGTATATATAGCAAATTTTCATATGTATATATATATATATACATATACATATATACACACACAAATAAACATATATGTATATATATATAGATAAGTATGCATGTACGTATGTATGTATGTATGTATGTATGTATGTATGTATGTATGTGTGTATGTATGTATGTATGTATGTATACATATGCTTTATATCTGTATGAAAGTGCGTGTATATATATATATATATATTTATTTATTTATTTGCTTATTTAATTATATGTTAAGGTGCAAATAACTCTATATATATATAATATACTTGGTCTCTCTCTCTCTCTCTGTCAATCTGTACAACCCCCTGAAAACTGAGCGCCTGATGGGCCGTCGAGGAGAGGTCTGAAGCTGTCACATGCTTCGCCTGCCGGCTTTCTCGCTAAAGGGTTCTACAAGGGCTACTATAAGGGTTTAGGGTTTAGGGAATAGTATTTTGGGGTATATTATACTATAGTTATAGTAAGGAACCCCCCAACTCTGCACCCTCAATACCCTAACCCTGCCCTTAGGGTCCTTGGTAGTTCCTTTTTGGGATTACCTAATCGGATCCTAGAGCCACAAAAAGGAACTACTATGGGGCCTATGGGTAAACCCAATTTAAGGGTTCAGGGTTTAGGGGTTTAGGGGCGTATGGGCTTTAGGGTTTAGCGTGCAGGGTTCAGGGTTTTAGGGTTTAGGCCTGACCGTACTTTTCGCTGCAGCCCTCTTCGTACGGCTAGCTGACAGCGGGAAATGGCTCCAGATGTCCCGCCATGTGCTTGCCTCGTACGTTAGGGCCTTAAAGGCTATTGGGGTTGCTGATGCGATGATTCGAGTAGCGACTTTAAGGGCAGTTATTGTTCCGAGCTTTGTAAAGGCAGCGCCGAAACCCGAGGCCTCAAAATAAACCTGCAGCCTAAAAATACAAGCTTGCACTTGCACCACCTAAATGTAAATAAAAGCAGCCCTAAACAACCCAAGACCGAAATCCCAACTATCAAACCCTACCGAAAAGGTCATGCCCTACCCCTTTGTGAGGGTGCCTAGTCTTATGATTAGGATCTGTTCTATGAAGAGTAGGCACCCTAGGAAAGGGTAGGGTATGATCCTGCAGGTAACTTCCAGCCATGAAAAACCCAATGCTGATTCCAACTGAATCCTGAAACATTAAGCTTTAAACCATTTGAAGTACTGACTCCCCGCATCCTGAGTTTCGACATTCCCGAAACCCTGAGGCCCTCAAAGCCTGAAGTTCCAGATCAACAGGTACGTACCAATTTAAAGACTCCATCATATCCCTCAAACCCATACTCTAGTTACTGAGGCCTCTACACGAAAGCTTATTCAAGAAGAAAAGTTAGACATCAATACCAAAAAACCCTTCAACAACTCAGAAAGCCCTATAAAACCCCATCCCCTCGATTAGATTAGGAACGGTGCCTTGAGCTCCTCCAGAAAGCCTTGCAAAGGTTGCTGCATGCTTGGGTGGGTTTAGGGCTAGCTGCAATTTAGGGTTTAGGGTCTAGGGGCTGAGGATATAGGGGAACCCCAAACCCTGAACCCGGGACCCTGAACCCTAAACCCTAGCACCCTAAACCCTACTACCTCACGGGTTTAGGGTTTAGGGTTAATTAGGGTTTCTTTTTCAGGATTTAGCGGACCTGACAAGCGGTGCATGATAGAGGCTGCCTATAAGGGCTGCTGTAAGGGTTCCTTTAAGGATTCCTTTAAGGGCTCCTTTAAGAGTTCCGCTAAGAATTCCTTTAAGAGTTCCTTTCAAGGCTCGTTCCTTTAAAGGGCACTGTAAGGGTACTACACGGCCTTAAGTGGGTTGGGACATTCTAACGGTTCGGGTATCTATAAGGATCACCATAAGGGTGTGGGGCTTCCATGTCAGTGTTTAGGGCTTAAGGTCGGAGTATAGGGTTTAGGGTTTAGGGGTTTAGGGTTTAGGGGTTTAGGGTTCAGGGTTTAGGGTTCGGGGTTTCTGGAAGACAACCAAGAAGGCTTGCAAATCCTAGGGCCGCGCCCTCCATCGGGAAGCATCGACTCCTCAATAACCCTAAACCCTACCTTAACCCCAGATAACCTACCTTTTCAAGGACTTATATAAAGAAATTATAATAAGGAGCCCTAAAAAGGTAGGTTCTTTAGGGTCCAGGTATACCCTAAAACCCTGAAGCTGGACCCGAATCCGGTTTAGAGCTTAGGGTTTGGGGTGTAGGGCCTTGGAAAACAGCAAAAAATCGCCTACTGATGATGCAGAATACATTACATAGGTGCCCGCTCCATTTTTACGAGCGTTTCAGGGGCTTCTGCATGTTAACTATCATACTTGACCCTAAACTTCTAGACCCTAAACCTCTCATATATTGGGGGACCCCAAGGAGTAACCCTGCCAAACTTCGTGACTGCAAGCCATTGCACCCTAAACCCTAAACCCTAAACAAAGTCTCAAAGTGAAAGCACGGGATGATTCTGATTTAGCACGGAGCTTTCAAGCAACGCTGCTTGCTTCTGTTATCAATGCAATTGCAATTGTGGCTTTCAAGCTCCTTCCCCAAAGGGTCCAAAGTACCTATATAGTAGAATGTAGGTTTCTACAGCAGGGATTCTTATCATGATGTGGGAAAGTATCCCCCGTAACAGTACCTAGGACGCTTTGGATTCACAAGAACCAAAAACAACCGCTGACCCCCCCAACAAAAACACCTGCCGTCGCCCCAAACGCCAGCCGGTGACCTC